TATTTTTAGAAAATAATTATAAAGAATTGTTGATACATACATTCTAATCATGTGTTTGTAGTAATGTAAATAAAAAGAATAAATCTAATAATTGTGAGAATTGAATTAAGTTTATATTTAACTTTTAATTGATGATATATTGATGGTGATATCTATATTATTATTAATATAACTTATTTTTAATAATGGTGAATCAAATTTGAATATTATGTAATTAGATGTGACACGGTGAAGTTTGTCTTTTCGAAAAAGACATTAACAAACTCATTGAAAGTATATCATATGTATATGATCACGATTCAAGAGTAGAATTTAATTGTTGGTTAATTATTGTATTTTATATTATATTAAAAACTTAATATAATTTTAATTTCAACTTTCTACCTAGATTAAATCCCTTAAAAAAACCATTTTTTTCTATTCACTTGGATATGCAAAAGAGGTGTCAAGTAAAAATATACAATAAGGTTTTTTGTCAAATGGTGTAATAGATTTTTTGTTAATCTTACCATGTCCAAAACGGACAATTTTTGTTTTTTCAATTGTTAAATATCACTTTATAAACTTTGAACATGGTATAATATATTATTTTGTTGTTGTTACTTTTGCATTTCACTCTTTTTTTTTTTCCTTCTAGAAATTATTGATGTTCATAACCCTTATAAGAATATTCACAATTATTTGATAATATTGTTAAAAAAAATGCAAGTTTTTTTTTCTTATAAAGTATAATGATTCAGAGGGAGTCTGTGTGTTAATTAATTGAGTTTTTATTTAGTGTATTTTCATATAAAGGCATGTATATTTTTGTAACAGCTCAAGAATATGCATAATATATATATATATATATATATATATATATATATATATATATATATATATTATCTTACAAGTAAATAAAACATAAATTTATATTATTATTAATTTCATAAGTATTTCTACTACAATCTACCACATGTAATATTTGCTCCTTGTAAATATATAATTATCATAATTTAAAATAATATACAAAATATAGAATATAAGTTAGTAATTCGATTCAAGTATACAAAATTTAAATATGAGATAAAATAACATAATTCAATTTTAAATTTTCATATATTGTATCATGTTTATAAAAACTCACATTTAGGTTAAACAAACACTAAACGACTTTTAGAATACTAGATATTGAATTAGACATCAGATATTTGTTTTATCATACCATATTTCCTTAAGTACATAACAGAAGGGTGTTCAATTTGGTATATACACACATATGCTAGGATAAATTTTTAAATGACTTATCAAAATAAAGTTTTTTTTTTTACAGGTTAAGTCATTAGAAATATTCTTTGATCTTTTCATCTATATAATTTCAGTGATAAGTAAAGTTAGAATCTCCATGAGTCTCTAATTAATATATTTACATATGACACTACATAAATGAGGATACCCATTAATAATTCTCATATCACAACATAACATTTTTTAAGCTACATAATAACATTCAATACACCATATCTCATATTCATAACATGTATTTCAATATCTTAAGGTATATACATATCATTTCTTATATTATAACAAAATATATATTTTTTTAATTTGACCTTTGCCTACTCTTATGATCATAATTTTTTTTATAGACATCTTTTTTTAACTAATTCTTATTTTATTGAATTTTTTATTTTTTGGGCTTTGATTTTCATATATAAAATGTTTAATTTGGAGTTTGAAGCTATTTTTTATGATTTTTTTGAAACATCCGAGCGAATTTGAAAGTGTTGAACAAATTTCAAATCTGTTGAATGAAAATTTGACAAAATGGAACCTCCAACACTTTGCAAAATCTACTGGGAAAATTTGATAGCGCTGAACAAAATTTTGACAGAATGGAACCTCCAACATTATCTAAAATCTGTTAGGCGAATCTAAAAACGTTGAGCAAAATTTAGGTGCCTTCAACATTATCTTAAATTTGTTGAACGAATTTAGATCTGCTAAGCGAATTTGTGACAATAACATATTACATAATTTGTTCAATACCTTGTTTCTAATGTTTCAAATTAAATTAAATATAAGCTCTACCCTTCAAATTATAAATCAATTCACTAAATTCAATCTAAAAACTATTCATACAAAAGACTATCATTTTCAACCTCATGAAAATAAATTATACATTCACATTCCTGAAAGTCAATCAATGTGACCAAGTCACCTTTACAGTTCAAATTTTCTATCTTAGAGTACTATGGAAATTGAAGAATAAATAATTTCTCTTACCTCAAACACAATATCTTCAAATCAAAGAACCAAAAACTCCTATTTTTAGGAAGATAGATCTGACTTACAAAAAACTCATATTTTTAGGAAGATAGATCTGACTTACAAAAAACTCCAATAACACAAATTAAGCATACCAGAATGTTCTTAAGTTAATTAAGAATTATCTTTTCATAACAAAGTTCACATAGAAGTCCCCCAGAACTCACATGTAAACCTAAACTCAAATATGCAAAAATGGTCTAAAATTAGAAAAGAAAAAACATATTCTATTTGAACTTCTAATTGAATAGAAATGATCTCTTTTAGGTGTGCTTGGAACTAGAAAAAGATGAAAGAAGTAATTACAATTTTAGAGAGAAGGAAGAAAAAATGGAATTGTATAAAGATAGTGGTTTTATGATAATGAAATTTGATGGTTAAACTTTTTTATTTATAATTTTTTTTTAATTTTAATGATAAAACTCCAAACTTATTTTTTTTATATCACTTATACTCTTAACTCGTTTGAACGGGGTTCTCACATGTTTAATAGAAAATAAACTTTCCATATGTAAGTTAACTTGTTCATTTTTTATAATCCTCATTTCAGAAAATACTTCTAAAAAATACAAATAAAATAAAATATCCATAAAAAAAATCGTCATTTAGAGACTAACATTTTCTGTCTCAAAATCATATACATAATTTCTATAAAAAAATTTGTCACACTAAATTGATTCATTGATCTTTTATCATAAGATCAAAATATCCAATTTATCGGATGCTGTTTTAATTTTTTTAATCACATAAATAATAATAGACTTTTCAATAGCAAAAATTCAGTCACAAGTTAATTGTTAAAAGAAGCTTTTTTTTTTCACATCAAAATTTGTATAATATAATCACAAATTTAGTGACGGAAAATTTTAATAGTGACTAATGTAATTTGGGTAGTAATAGTCACCGAATGTCATTGGTCACTAAAATTCATTGGCTATTTGAGTTTATTTTTTTACAAAATATTATTTTTAATATATAATTAGTAATAAGTATTTTATTAAACAATAATTAGTTGCTAAAATCAACAATGTTAAATTTTAGTGGTGATAACTTGTAAAATTTTCTTTATAATTAAAGTTAATATATTTAAATTTAAGCTAACAATTATTTATGATCACAAAATGGATTGGATCTCATGATCTTGTACCAATTGTGTGTTTTGGTATTTGAAAGATATAAATATATAATAATATTATAGTTAAATCATGAATATTTATAAATTAAGTTTTAGTTAATAATTATAATTAAATAAATTAATATGTAATAATTTAATATGTAAATACAGTCATTTTCTACTATAGATTACAAATTTAATCATGATTAAATAAACTTATTTTTATAATTCAAAATGTCTATAAATCTCTAAAATTTTAAAGAAATTAATAACTAAATAATTTAGTCATTTTAAGATACTAAAACACATTTCACCAGATCATAAAAGACTTAAATTTAAATAACTAATTTTAAAATTAAAAATAAAAAAACTATGATTGTTAAACAAAAAGACAATCATGAGTTTAATTTCAAAACAAAAATTAAGTTCAGATATTTATGCATTACCTTGATTCTCACAAATAAGACATGAATCAATCATATAAAAGAGTATGATATCATTATCAATCCAAAATATTAGGACATTGGGTTATAGGTCTTTTTCACTTATAAGTTACTCAACTTTTCTATTTTTATCTAATGTGAAACTTTAACTTACGCTTGAATTCTCAACACATAGAACATTATCATCAATCACACAATAGAGTTTAAACAATTTAATTCAATCATATTGAAACGCTCACCCCCACACATGGATCACAATGTGGATGTCACCACCACTCATCATGATTCAAAAAACGTTTTGAGAGGTGTCATTGTAATTGCTCTTATAGTTATTTAAGTAAAAAACCGTCGTTTGCAAGGGAGAAAAAGCTTTATAAGGGATATAACAAATTTTTTACATCAAACTCTATATGGTTTGGTGTAAAAAAATTCCTTTACATTAATGTTAACTCATGTAAAGTATTAACTAATTATAAAGACTTCAAAATATTTCCATAATTAAGTATAATTTTAAAAAATATACATATAAAAATATATATTTATTTTAAAAGACGGGTAGGCAAATCCGTCGATCCTGTCTAGTGGGGTGAGTCAAACTTACGATCAATCTTGAATCTGATAGACCAATCTATCTTTATCAATTTAAACGCTTTTCTCGAATTTCAAAAAATTAAAATAAAATGTTTCGCATTCAATGTTTTTATTATTTTATGAGAGTGCATTTAATTTTTATATGTAAACTTGTACTGTAGAATGAAAAAAATTATCAATAACTAGTTGTCAAGTTTAAGTTACACACTAACCTGATACCGGCAATGGTACTAGCTTTCGGTCATTTTAATCACATATAAACCACTTTTGTGTGTCTTAACAATCATAAGTTTTCAATTGAATGAGCTAAAGCTCTTGCATATTGAGAAAAAATAGAGATTTGTGAATCCTGAAAATTTTGAAGCTTTCAAAAGAATAGGCTTCTTGTTACTTAGTTACTCTTGTTGTTCTTGTTACTCCCTTTGGTAAGTGGTTTTGGTTAATTTCTTACCTTATGACTTACAAATTGGAATTGTGTTTGTTTATGGAATGCTAATGATTTGTTCTTGTTTGAATTTTTACACAGGTTGATTTTATCTGGCTAAATGGGTATGCATCTTGAATATCCTTTTAACTAGAGATTTTGTATGAATGAAAATCATATATAATTTTTGTTGCTCAATTTATTTGTATTTCTGTTATCAATGCATTTTTTAAACTCATTTTCCAAACTATATGTTTTTTTTTTTCTTTTAAATTCTCATTTTTGTCCCTTATATGATTTGTTTGTTTGATCTGATCGATTTAAAACATCAAGTTCTCATCAAACATCACTCCCTTAAAAAAAATTGTTTCTTTGTATATATGTATATTGGTGATTATTTTTAATTTAATTCTCAGTGTGAAGATTGTTATGCATGACTAATTTGATTTAACTTTCAAATTCAACTATCTACTAATTTATGTATTTCCTTTTATGTTTTTTTTTTTATAAAGGTAGAGACAGATTTGGATCGGTTTAGAGACCAAACAATCCAAACTAAACCCAAAGAAGAAACCCAAGTTGATTTAAATCACCTATTTGGTCTGATTTTATTGATCTGGACATAAACTGGGTTCATAAAATTTCAACTAACCCAAGTTCTTTTTTTTTTTTTCTTTTTATACTTTTTTAGTCATGTAATTCTATAATTTTTACTTTTGAATTATTCATCAAATTTATTTTATTATAATTTGTTCATATTTTCCATGTATTTTAACTATTTTTTTATTAAGTGACATGAACCAACATCAAGTTTCAATTTATTTTTTATATTTCCTTATTTAATTTCTATGCTAAATGGCATGCATTATGTTTTTAGTCACTATCATACGTTTTACTCATTTAAGTAAGTGAAGAATATAACAAACAAATAATTTACTTAAAAAAGAAGATAAAACTATATCACATAATTTCATTGTACAACAAAAGTAAACAGAGAGACTAAATACATAAATTTCAAGAAAATCAAATATGAAATACTTTTCTTACATTAAAATTGACTAAATTTTGAAGAAAAGAAAAACATATTTGAAAGCAATGATAAAATGGAATGTAGAATATGAAATGTAGCTTCTGAAATGCATGTCTTAATACATACAGGTTCTAAAAGGAAGCAGGTAAGATTTGAAGATGAAATTGAATGCATGGACAGAAGAAGGAGTAGTAGAATTGTTGCTTTGGAAGAGAAGAAGCAACTGGAAAAAGAAAGAAGATTAGCTATAGCTTTAGAAAGGAAGAACAAGCATGGGAACCATGATGTGAAAAACAAAGGAAAAGGAAAAGCAACAATGGAAGTAGGGGATGACTTCAGTGACTTTAATAATGAGGAGGGTCCAACCAAGAAGGCACGCAGGAGCAAAGAATTTAATCAACTAATTTCTTCAATCAAGGTGTGTATCTTTTTCCTTTTTTAGTGTCTTAATAAAACAATTATAATGTCATTCTTAAAAATAATTTTTCATGATCCACTTCTTTTCTGATTAATATTATTTCTAACATAATTTCATTTATTTTTGAAAATTTGCTAAAATACCAAGCTTAAGATTATTCACTGAAAATTTTATATTTCACTCTGCATTGTTTTACCTTTTCGGATGACAACTTCAGAGTTTCTCATTTGAGTGTGCAATGTATATTTGATACAACCTCATTCTCTACATTTCCTCTGTTTATACACTTTTTCTGCTACTTCAAAGTCAATACAGGAATTAGGAAGACAATCACAGAATGCAAGTACTTCAGGGACAAATGGTATGCTCATAACTAGTCTGAAAAAAAAAAAAGTACATTTTTCCAATTGCACCTGTCAAATGTCATTTTAATAATAACAATTGTTGTACTTTTTGGGATACAGACTCATCTTTGAATGGTATGCCATTAAAGAACATCCTTGAGATTATTATAGACTTTTTACAGAGGTAAAAACTATCTTACTTAATGACATTTTTAAATGTATAGAAATGGAAGAAATATATATATATATATATATATATATATATATATATATATATATATAATGTTCCATTTCAACTATCTTTGAAATCTATCCATGTATAAATAATTATAAATTGTTCAAATGTGCAGGAGAGACTTGGATGAACTATTTGCTGAGCCAGTTAATCCTAATGTGGTTAGTTGTTTACCTTTAATTTGAAGATGTAATGAATTACTTCTTGACTATTTGATCATTGAGACTTGTTAGTGATGTTGAATAATTACTTTTAAAGGTGGAGAATTACTATGAAATTGTGAAGCAGCCAATGGATTTTGCTACCATGAGGGCCAAACTTCATGAGGGCATGTACACAGACATTGAACAATTCAAGGTTTGAAAATCATCATACTAAACTCTTGTTTGTAGAATTATTGTTATGTACATTCATTTTCTTGATATTATTTTTCACATGTCTTTTTCTTTTTTTCTTAGAAAATTTACTATCTTTTCTTTTTATCTTTATTCCTTAATGAAACATACATTTGACACCATGTGTTAACTAAATACTTACATTCTATTGAATGATATGATTAAGTTATCTAGCTTATTGTCTCCAAAACTTTCTTCAAATATATCTCACCTCACCACTTTGCTCAGTTACTAGTTGTGAAATATTTTCCCTCAGTGCCAAACTCACCTTTCTTTCTTTCTATTTCAATGATGTGCAGCGTGATATATTTCTGATCTGCTCAAACGCAGTTAGTGCTTATCCTGAAGGATCAAGATATCAGGAAGTGGTATGACCAAATAAAATAGAAAGCTTCAAGTTATTCAAGCTTATTTCCTATAAAATTTTGAGTAACCTTTGTTCAACATAATTTCTTTCAGGCTGAAGATATCAGTAAACATGCTAAGTGGACTTTTGAGGCTCTAAGAGTTGACCCTCAACATCTTGATGTAGAACTCTCACATAACCAGAAACCCCCAATTAGAAAGGCACAAAAGGGGCAACAGAGAACCCCAAGGAGGGTTGCTCCTAAACATGGTAGTATGGAAACTTGTTCTTCATTCAATATTAATATGTAGTCTTAACCATTATGTTTTGAGCCTCCATCTTAGAAAAACTTGTTATTTACCTTCATTTAGTCTCACTACTGATTTTATCCATTATTTCAGTGATAAAAATTGTAAATTAAACTATTTTAACTTTTCTAATTATTCTCTCTTTTATTGTTTGAATGATAAGAGTAACTAATTGTATTTCTGGATAATACAGGGGCACAAAATTCTACTGAAACACAGAAGAGGGACTCATACTACCCTCCTAATAAGCCATTTTTTCCTCAAGCGCTAGAATCGAGTAACAATTCTAACATCCAAGTAAGTTCCATTTTTTCTCCCAAACATGCAATTATGTAAGTTGTGATTTGAAAACATCTATTCAAGTTCATAGTAAATTATGAGTAGTTGGACAATGTGTAACAGACATTGGATGTTGAATAAAGTAGTAGGGGTCACACTTGCACATAAAACTTTCTTTTCAGAGGTTCTGACACTACATAAAATAATTTTATTTGATGACTACAAATTTGAAAGAGAAACATGATAATAGTCCATTATTAATTCTTATACGGGATCCATATAACTCTTCAACTGATATAATGATATTACTTCCAAATAGCTGTATATTAAAACTGTTCATCACTTAATTTCAAATTTTGTGCTATAAAAATTATTACAACTCTAGTGCATGTCGGTATTGCAGTTGAATGCAAATACTATTAACTACAAAGAAAGCCTTCTGCGGTTTGTGAAGGGCTTGGGACCAGTTGCTGAAAAGGTTGCAGCTCAGAAGATAGCTGCAGCTCAGGATCAGCAACTCTGCATCAGAGAAAATGTCTCGGGAATTACGAATATGCATCAGCCAACTCCAAAAGCACCAACACATCCAGTCTCTCTCAATGCTCAGACACTTCCTCTTTCTCTTCCGTTACTCAATAGGCCACTCACTATTCCTGGTTCTGCAGCTTGGGAAAACAGAACTGTCAACACCAATAATGTTGGCAGTGTTAACATGGGGGATAGACCTCATCAGAGAAACCAGATGATTAGAGGTGAAAATTGGCATGCTTGTGCTGCTGCTCTTTTGAGCAACTTCTTTTTTGAGAATGGCCAAGGGAGTAGCTCCAATGCAAATGAAACTATGGACGCTAGGGCCCGCTTGAAGGGAAAAATGGTTGCCCCAGTTGACAATATGCCTTCTCTTCTTGGACCTGTTCAAGATAGTTACAAGAAACAGCACTTAGGAGTTAACAACAGCAGTAGCAGCAGCAATACAATTCAGTGGAATAACTCCACTAACATGCCAAACATGTTTCCTACAGGAAGCTCCAGCAGTTTGTTTGCCCCTGGAAGCTCTAGGAATTTGTTTCCCATTGTTCATCCTACACGGGTGATTTCAGGGCCTCAGCCAAGGCCAATGAGAACCACATCATTAAGCAGTGGAAGTACCCTTTCAGGGTTACCAGTGATACAACAACCAGGGATAGGAAACACCATGACATTGCCTAGGAATAACCTCCCTCTGTACCAGTCAATGCAAGGAAGCTCTACTTCTTGCATGCCAAGCCACAACCTCGCTCAGCCATCTCCTGTGCGCCAGCCAAGGCCAGATGACATTGTTAACCTTGCAGATCTGCGGCTTAAGCCTCAGTCAGATCCAAGAAACTTAATGTATGGAATGCCTAGTAACAACCTTACAGGGGCATCTCTTATGCAAGAGCATCATCAGCCTTGGCCAGCAGATTCCAGGTCTAGCCTCAATTCCTCGATGCTCTCTCCTTTGTGTCAACCACTGCAAGGACAGTCAGCTCCATGTAAGAACCTATCAGCAGTCTCAACTGTTTTTCCTTCCCTGCATGCAAATTTTTCTAATGACTCAAACAATTCAGTGTATGGTTTAGATCAGCCAATGAGCTTTGAAGCCATGATGGAGTCTCAAAACTTCACCAATGCAACTTGGCCAATGCAGGCAAGTTTTGAACAAGTCACGAACCAGGCTGCAACATTCAATCAACCAGCAAGTCAGGGTTTCCCTGACATGCAGAGGCAGGCACTTAATCACGTACCATTTCCCCCACAACAACCAAATTCATCTTCATCTCTACAAATGGCCTTGGGAGGTGCAACAAATTTCTGTGGAGGAGGAAGGGCTCTTGCAGGCCAACAAGAAGAGTCACCTCCACAGCTTTCTTGGTACGGTGATCCGATACCAAACTTAGATCTTGAGCTCTAACTATAAAGCATCTATAATACTGTTCTGTTAAAGTATGCATGCAAGTAAAATCCTTTTTGAAATTTTTGTTAAATAGATGCTATCATTTGCAGCTTAGAGGTGCCTAATGTTGAGTTGAAGACAATTTTAAATGTTTGAATGGAAAATGTAACTGTTTGCTTGCCCTACAGCTAGTAAAGTATGCAGCTTCGAATTTGCTCAATCAATGTTGAACATGTTAGATGAAATTTGCAGCAAAAAAATTCTTTTCTGAATAAAACAATACAACTGTTTCAGATTTTGCTACAATCAAATTAAAAAAAAAAAAAAAAAAAAGTACTAAACTTATTTATGCACAAAAACAAATGATTTGAGAAAAAAAAAATTCAATTGATAAAATAAGCTTTTGAAATGTAAATCAAATATAGCTTAAGCTGTGGACCATGTTCACCACATCCTTCAAGAAAACACACACACACAACTAAGTCACCGTTCCAAGAAGCTATGGAGGAGTCTCTTCTTACTTGCGTAGAAGAACTCTTCCTCCTCTACAGAAATTTACCACACTTTGCATGGCTATTTCTAGAATTTGATAATTTCTATTCACCTTAATACTGGTATTTATAGAGAATATTTAGCCTAACATTTAGGGTATGATAGGTTGCAAGAAAGAGAAAAAGGATATAAAAGAAAAAAAATGGAAAATATTGTTTGAGTAAAATATGGTATAAGAAAAATAAAATTATTATTTTTAAAATAATAAATAAAAATAAATTATTATATAATTACAATCTATTATATATTAATTTTGAAAAATAATTATTCGCTTGAGAAAAAATATATAAAAATATTATTTCTAATAAAATAAATAATTAAAAATTTATTTATATATTAGTTTTAGAGAAAATGTGAGAAAGATAATTTTAGATTTTTATTTTATTTTTAAATTATGTGGACCATTATCCTTTAAACTGATTGGACCGTTAGTGAAACCGCGTAAACCTTTTCTCCCGGTAGCCATCCAAAGGCATTACTAAAGACCTCTTTTATCTCATTAATTGCATTATTAAATGAGCTCTTTTATTTATTCAATAAATTATTAAATGGGCTCATTTTTTTTATTAATTACATTATTAAATGAGTTATTTTTTTTATTCATTACATTGAACATAATGGTAACTTTCAAGCTTATTTTATGGATGCCCCACACCACCCTGTTCAATGAGATTCAAGACCAAACCTTCACCAGAAAATACCTTCCTCTCAGTCCGCACGGTTCAAGATCATCATCTCCTTTGCGAATAAGAGTTACTTCAAAATAAAAATAAATATTTTATTGTAGAGAAAATTAATTAAAATTAAAAATAACTTACTTATATTAATGTAACCAAATTGTAAGTAAAAATATTCACAATAAAATATTTAATTTTATTTTCACATTATTATCTTGTTTGAATGTTTCAGGGATAATAATTAAATTTATACTCAAAGATCCATTATGTCCCGAGTTTGACGAGAAAGAAATGAGTTGATTGGAAATGGGGACAGGTTCACGTTTTTTTCGCTTTAAAAAATTAAGAACAAGAGCGGGGATAGGTAATGTAATCTTCACCCCGACCCTCTCCTCGTTTTAGTCCCCTTTCCCTAGGGGTGTCAATATGGGTTCTAACCCGTGAGCCAATTTGGCTCACCACGGGTTCGAGCCGGATTATGTTCGATTTTTTTTATTTCTACCGATTATGAGCTAAAAATGAACTCAGCTCACTTAACTCACGGGTTAAATGGGTTTGAACCAGGTTATGGTGGGTTGACCCACAACCCACCATTAATTTTAAATTTTAAAAATAATTATAATAATATACTAACCCTAATTAATCATTTATTTTAAATTTTAAAAATAAGTATAATACTTTAGTAACCCTAATTGATGTTATCATATTTTACCTCTACCCTATATTGTTGGTTGTCGCCACAAGTCAAACATTCACTTAAACTTGTTATCAGTTGTTCACTGCACCACTACGTTTGTCGCTGCATTTTGGTCATTTGTCTTATTATCTGTCCACCGCACTACTACACCATGTCCACTGTATTGCTTTCAAATGTAAGAATTTGTTTCATAACCTAAACTATTAGATTGATAAATCTTTATTTGAAATTTGTAGCATCTATACATTATTTGTTGTTTGTTATTGATTTATACGTATATCTCTTTAATATATGAATTTTTGACTTCTTTCTTTTAAATTAATTTACAAGTATGGAATCGAAACAATACATCAAAGTGTCAATGTAAATTGTATTGGTAATGATTTTATTATTAATGAAAAACTCAATGAGCCAATTTCGAGTTAATAACGAAGATATTGATATTGAGAAAGAAATGAAGAAAACATAAGTTTCTACATCCGAAGTTTCTATATGATTAAAAAAATTAAAAAATATATGGGTTAATAAGTCAACCCACCTAACCCACCAACGCGTGGTGGGTTGAGCTGGGTTGTAAAATTTCTGACTCACCAAAAAGTGAGTCGGGTTGAGTTCACCTATTTTTAGCTTAACCCGTGGTGAGCCAACCCGTGTGAGCCGGGTTGACTCACTTTGACATCCCTACCTTTCCGGCTCCCACTTTATATTTAAGTTTTAAAATATTAATATTTTAAAAGTATATTTTTTATTTTTCTATTACATATAAGATTATTCTTTTATATTTCATCATTTTTACTTTTTTTCTACCCACTTTTTAATTCTTTGATTTTTTTATTTTTTATATCAATTAATTTATTATATTATTATTTTTTTCTTACCTTTAAATTTTTCACATTTTCTTAATTTTTTCAACCAATTTAATAAGTACAAAGTTAATTTTTTTCTTTATTTTTTTTAATATTTTACAAAATTTTTAATAATAACTAATATTATTTTATTTATAATTTATATTTATTAAATTTATTATGTCATTTTTTTATTTTTTTATTCTTATTTTTCATATATTAAATTTTATTTTAATAAAATAATTATATTTTAAAGAATTAAAAAAATTAATAATTTAAACTTTTTTATTTTAAATTAATTAAATAAGAATTAACTTATTAAATATTTCTTTATAAATTATATATTTTATATTTTTAAATAATAACTTAAAAATAAATTAATTTGTATATATAATTAAATATTTTTAGATATATTATAATAACAATAATAATAATAATAATATTGTTATTATTATAAATATTTAAATATAGTATTATATAATAATAATAATATTATAAATATATAAATAACAAATATTAAATATTTTTTATGTACATATTTTAATATAAATATAATAAATTAAAATATATATTTAATTAATCATAATTATAAACTATAAAATTATAAATATTTATTTATGTATAAAATATATATAAAATTAATAAAATTAATTTATTATAATTATTATTATTATTTTTTAAATAATATAAATTAAAAATTGAATGAAAGCGACAAAATTCAAAATCTAACAAAAACTAAGATGAAAACTTAATTTATAACTCTGATAAAAATTAAAAATAAAAACGATTAAAAAAGTTGAATGAGAGGCAAATTGCGTCCCGGTCCGCACAATTGCCATGTCTCCTGCACATGAATAATCTCTTATCAATAAAACGCTTTAATTACTTTTTACTTTTATAGTTTCAACGTTTCCACCAGATATGAATTTATTACTTTTAATTTTTTTTATATAAGTTTTAGCCGTTAATACGCTTTAATTACTTTTTACTTTTATAGTTTTAACGTTTCCACCGCATATGAATTTATTACTTTTAATTTTTATATATAAGTTTTAGCTGTTAAAACGGAATAAGAAACATAACTGTAGAACTCAAATAAATATTTTTTGACTGTAGAAACTAAAATGTAATGATTATATATATATATATATGAATTTTTTTTAATATAATAAATATTTTTTTAATAATTAAATAATAAAAAATAGACAATAAAGATGAAATATATATATATATATATATATATATATATATATATATATAAGAGCAATTTATGACTGGATCTTGAACATAAATATATTATTTTCAAGATCTCTACTGTAGAAATTGAATTCTTGGTAAAAAAAAAACACTTATGAAAAACTTTCGGAATCCAAAAAAATAAGAAAAAAAAATTAAACTCCAATTGTTTAGAGGAATTTAGAATATATTATTTTAATATAAATTTTATGATAAAATTACTTATTACTTAAAATATTTCTAATGAAAATTATTAGAAATTTTTTTAACAAATATATTATTTTAATATGTTTAAATTATTTATATAAATAAATTAAATTTAAAAAAAAATTATTATGAGATTCATATTAGAATAATATATTTTATTTTAAATAATTCTTATAAAAAAAATCTGTTAACAACTCTAACTTTGAATTTTATTCATAAGAATTCTCAAACAATTTTTACGGGAGAATTCTTAAGATCTTAGGGTGACATCTATCATTAGTAAGATTCAAGCAAAATATTTTATGGAAGACACGTAAAAATAAAATAAAAAATTCAAAATGGAATATATAACTAAAATTTAAAATTTATTGAATATCTAAAAATATCAAATTAAATACAAAATAAATTAATAAATTTGATTTAAATCTTGAATATTATTTTAATTTACTACCTACCCCTATAAGTTTTAGTTCTTACCCAATCTTAAAAAACAAAACTATTAAATACTTAAAATAAAAATGGGTTTTGTATTAAGAATATATATTTAAATCTAAATATAATAATAAAATGAGTAGTTTTTTAAATAATTTTTGTTTTTTTTTAAATAGTTATAGATATTCATTTTGAAAAAAAAATGATACATTTAGTATTAAAACTATTTTAACCAAAAAGAAAATGATATAAACGATAATAAAAAAATAAAAATTAGTTTTGATTGTTTAATAATGATGAAATTAAACAATATAATTTAAAAATTGGTTACTGAAAATTGAAAATTAAAAATATAAACATTTTTATCAAAAA